CACCCCCACACCCCCAGCCTGCGCCGGTCACAGCCATCAGACCCTATCCCTGAAACACCGTTTTCCTCGTGCCTCTCCGGCTCAGTACGGCCCCTCTCCCGACCGCCCACGTCTCTCAGGGCAGAGGGGCGTCTTCCTCCGTGCCCGGCATGTGGCGGTGCTCAGGCCCCGAGAGCCACACGGCGGCCGGGTGCGGAGGTGCAGGGCTGCCCCTTCCTGGGTGGCGGACGACGAAGTCTGTCCCCCTCCCACGCCGATTCGGAGGCCAGGAGGGGCAGACAGGGACGCTCCACGGGCAGCGGGAACAGGGCGCCAGCGCCGGGGATCCAGGCAAGGGAGGGCGGCAGGACGCGGGAGAGAGACTGGGGTCGTGGCGGTGAGGATCAGACGCGAGGCAGAGGCTCCAGGGACAGAGAGGCTGGTGTGCGGAGGTGGAGGCCAGAGAGCCGAGGCCAAGGAACTCGGCCCAGCCCACGCGACAGTAAAGGGTCAGAGCCGGGATTTAACTCGGGGCCAGGGGACGCCCGCCCCCTAGGCCAGCACCCGCACGAGGAAGGCCGTGCCAGGGGGAGGGGAGGGCTGGGCAGGCAGGATATTAGTCTGGAAAGAGTCCAGAAAGAAGCCCAGAGTGGAGAGGTTAAGTTCACAACGCTGCGGAATGGTGTTAAGAAGTCAGGTTGAGATACTGTGGGGCACAGACGGGGTGGAGACAAGAGCCTCAGCCAAGCCCTTAAGCCACCCCACTGCCTCGCTCAGCTGTCGGTCCCCTGCGCAGTCCCCTTGCTCCCCTCGCCCCGCCCCGCCCCCTCCTGGAAACTGTGCCCTCCGCTCCTGCAGCCCCTCGTTTGCACAGAGCACACACCTTCATTTAGGAAGGCGCAGTGGGACCCGGGAGGCAGCGGACAGCCGTGTCCGTCCGAACCGAGGGGCAGCTCGATGCGGGCCCTGCCCCCGGGGATTTGCCTGCGAGGGGACCCCGGCGCTGCCGCCCACCCCCACCCCTCCCCGCCTGCCAGCCCGCCCGCCTGGGCCGCGCGTCCCGGGCCGGCTCTCCTTGCAGTCTGCGCCCTGGCGGCCAGGTGGCGCCAGAGCCCCGCTCCGGTTCCCGCGTGGGGAGCCGCCCGCGCCCGCGCCCGAGGCTCCCACTCGGTCCAGCCTCCGCGGACGGGGCGCCCGCTCAGTTTTCCCGGCTCAGGCCTTCCAAGTACGAAGGGGCTGCAGCCTCTTTGGAGCTGCGCACTCTTAATTGCTGTGAATATTTCCTTTCTGTCCCCTACTTCGCTATGGTTCCTGGCTTACACGTTACCGAGAGGGAGGTTGGTTAGCCCAACCCTCTCGTCGCTGCCTTGGGGACAGCCCAAAGCAAGGACTGCATCTATTCTTTTAAAATGTTAAATAAAATAATTTCAGTGAAAATATAATGTAATAATGTTAATTCATTTATTTTTATTTTTTTGTGGCAGAGTCTAGTTGCCCCAGCCAGAGTGCTGGAGTGTCAGCTCACAGCAACCTCAAACTCCTGGGCTCAGGCAATCCTCCTGCCTCAGCCTCCGGAGTAGAGCTGGGGGACTACAGGCAAGGCGCAACCACGCGTCCTTGCTCATTTTTCTCACATTTATTAGTTGTTTGGCGGGTAATTTCTTTCTATTTTCATAGTAGAGCACGGAGGTCTCGCTCTGTCGCTCGGGCTGGTCTGGGAACGTCCTGAGCTTAAGCATCCACCTGCGCCTCGGCCGCTCGAAACAGAGTGCTAGGATGTACACGGCGTGAGCCACCACGGCCCCGGGCCCTTGTAAAATTTCAGTTTTAAAATAGTTTTTAAAAAAAAAAAAATATCAAAACAACACATGATTCCAAACAACAGGGTCTTGTTGAACTGTTTCAGGTAATTCCGATATTGTCCCCCAAGCCCTGGTCCAACACCACAGGCATATGTATCTGTTTTTGCGCATCACCACCATGCTTTCTTTGGATACTGCTTTGCACTTGGTTGGTTGACAAAAAGGGAAAGAATTCTTCATTCATTCATTCATTCTGCGAGCATGTATTGCGAGCCGCCGTCGGAGGCTCAGGGACCGAGGGGATTGGACAGTCGCCCTCCCGCCGACCCCGGTGCCGGCGGTGGAGCCGGGTAGGCTCGTGGGATGCCGAGTGCGGCCAGGTCCTCGGAGGAAAAATAAAGCAGGATTCGAGCCGGGGCCGGGGCGTTGTCGGGGGTCCAGAGAAGCAACATTGAGCAGAGACCTAAATGCCGCCTGGGGAGTAATTGTGGGGGGAGGACACACACCTGTGGGTGGCGCGGCACCCCCTCCCCGCCCCCGCAGAGGTCAAGAGCAGGAAAGTCAGGGTTCCCTGCGCTGCCCTGCCCGGCCCCGCCGCCGCCGCACCCCTCGCGGGCGGGCGGTTGAGCTCGCGTCCCGTCCCACTGCGTGGTCACAGCCCCCACCCCCCTGCACCCCTCGCGGGCGGGCGCGGGTTGAGGCTCCGTCCCGTCCCACTGCGGGGGTCACGGCCCCAACCCCCCTGCACCCCTCGCGGGCGGGCGCGGGTTGAGGCTCCGTCCCGCCCCACTGCGTGGTCACAGCCCCCACCCCCCTGCACCCCTCGCGGGCGGCGCGGTTGAGGCTCCGTCCGCCCAATGCGGGGTCAAGCCCCCCCACTGCACCCTCGCGGGCGCGCGGGTTGAGCTCCATCGTCCAGCCCACTGCGGGGTCACAGCCCCCACCCCCTGCCACCCTGCGGGCGGCGCGGGTTGAGGCTCCATCGTCCCGCCCACTGCGGGGTCCACGGCCCCACCCCCTGCACCCTCGCGGCGGGCGCGGGTTGAGGCTCCGTCCCGCCCCACTGCGGGGGTCACGGCCCCCACCCCGCGGCCCCTCCGGGGCGAGCGCCCCTTCCCCAGCCCAGGAGCAGCGGCGGCCGCGGCGAAACATAAAGTCCGTGCGCCCCGAAGTGACGCCAAGATGCCCCGAGCGCGGCGGCGGCGGCTATCTGCAGATCAGACCATGTGGGGGGCGGCGGGTACAAATAGGGCGGCGCGGGCGCCGGCGCGGCACAGGCAGCGGCCGCCGGGAGCCTCGAGGGCGCGAGGCCGCCCCGCCCCCCGCCGGGACCAGCCTCCCCGCGCCCCGCGGCGGGCCCGCTTCGCTCCGGGCGCTCCCCGCGCCGCTCGCCAGAACTTCCCGCCCTCGCGCAGGGGAGCTGCGGCGCCGCGCCCGGCCCGTGGGCTCCGTTCGGCCTCCTGCTCCCTCCACTCCGCGTAAGAGCGGGCGCGGGCGGCGGGCGCGGGGCGCGCGAGGGGGCTGCGGGGGGCTTGTGTGTTGCGTGCGGGGGCTTCGCGGCGTCTGGAGTGCCAGAGGAAGACCCTGTCAAGAGGGTCTTAAGCAAAGTGCCGTCCTGCGCTTCGGGAAAAGTTGCTTTTGTTTCAACCCAGGATTTCTGTCTGATCTTTACTTTGCTGCCACCGCGTGCAGGTGGCTGTACGCAAAGGCGTTAGTGCAGGGAGCGTTCTGGTTGACACAAATGCCCAGATGTCCAGAGAACTCTCGGAGTGACACCTGAGCCGGCGCGTCTCTGTGCGCTGGGGCTGCTTCACGGCCAGAGCTGATGCACGCGCCGACACCTCCCAGGCCATTTTCAGGTGTGCAAAACTCCAGCTCCAACGGCTGTTTCTTCCACAGTGGTTGACGCGTAAAGCCATCAGTTTCTTGGAAAACGTGTGCATTCAAATTTGTTTTGAAAAAGCTGTCTGGAGCTCAAGAGCAGATTTAGCTCTGGAGTTAAGGAGCAGATTTCCTTTTGAACTGAGTCTTTGGCATATTGAATTGTTCCTTTTCAAGTTGGGGTTCTAAAGAATTTGAGAGGGGTAGAAATTCTAGGAGTGAGACATGACAAAGACTTGTGGGTATGTATTTTTATGATCAATTTTGTCCAGAAAAATGAACCAGGTCAATGGATTATTTATGAGCCTGCTAGCTCTCATCATAGTAAGACGAGATCAAATATTTAATGTGTTTTGCCTTCAGTTACACGGGAAAAATGTCTAAGAAGGCAACATTGGGATTTGTGTTTCGTGAAACAAAAGGGAACCCTGGGTAGCGTGAGTGTTTGGGGTTTTAGGTGTGGCGGGAACACCCAGGTTTAACTCTTTGTCCCATTACTTGCTTTTATGTGAAGCCACTGAAGCCCAAAAGTTCAAGTGTTCCTAGCACAGACGGTGGGGTGGGGAGAGGCAGGTTCTTATCCGTCTTGTGCAAATTGGGCCAGCCATTTTGGGCATGGGTTTTCTTTTCTTTTCCCAGAGGAGCCGATTGAAACTGCTTCACAATTAATCCATAGTCCCCTCAACACTGGTGATCCATCCAGGACATTTCAGATATGTAACTACCAGCACAGGACAGTCAAACCCGTTTCTTTAGTCTCCTTGTTTGAGGAATACATAGACTAGGACGAAGGGCGGGGAGTAGCAATGACATTTTAATGGAATGGGCAAGACCGCAGAAATTCCTCTTGGGGGACTCTTAGAGTTGTCTGGGCGTTTTGGTGAACCGTGGAGAGGCATGTCCAAGAGCTTCACAAATGGGTGAGGTGACTGAGGGAGGGGGGTGCGTGGCTGGCGGAGGTTTAGGGGCATGGGTCGAGCTCTTTCCTATAGCAGGCTTGCAAATCACCCTGGATGTCCCCCGGCAGAGAGAAACGCAGGTAATTCCAGAAATTAAGCCGGTCTGTGGCCGTTCCTTCTCCTTCATACTTGCCAAACTGTATCATTTGAGAAAACAGGGAAGGCGGGGCTGTCTGAAGAAGCTTAGTTTGAATTTGGCTTAATGAATCAACAGGATATGGTTATGACTTGACTTTTTTCTAAAGATGTCTACATGGCCAAAGGGAAAATTACGCAGTCACTTTTTTCTTGAGAAGGTAACTCTGGTGTCACTTATGCCCAACACCACATCTGCTGCCCTGGGCCTCACGGTCTCCGGCTCTAAAATGGGGGGGGGGTGCATAACACGGCGTGCGACTCAGTCAGCGGCCGGCCAGAGCCCTCGCCTCTCTGCTTTAGAAAAACAAGAGTTGAAATGATGGTGCAAAAATAGCTGAGGGTCGGGACTCTACCCAGATATTCCCATCACATAGGGTCTTCTGGGATCCCTCAGGTTTCACTCTAAGGCAGAGGTTTGCACACTCTGACACACATAAGTTGTAAGTGGAGTCTTGCCCCTCAACCACATCCAGCCAACGGGGCCCCGCGTAACCCGACTGCCCGAGAGCCCTTTGCAAGATGCCCGGGCTGTGGTGCGGTTGCATCAGCCTCTGGGCAGTACAGATTCTCCGGCTGTGCCCGTTTTCCTGTCCAGTCCCTGAGCTGTTGCCAACTCGCTGTCCTCTGAGGTTTGTGGTGTTCCACAGAACAGGCGTGGGTGTGGAGTCGAACACCTCATAAAAGTGCCTGTTTCTCCACACACGCAGCAGGTGGTGTGGATTCGCCCTGTTCCTGTGGGGAGCCCATTTCTGGGCTTAACTGGGCAACATCGCATTCTCAGGAAAGAACGCTGCCGTCTTCCTCGGAGGGACCCGGATGGAGACTAGACGAAGCCGGCCTTCACTAGACACCTGGCACAAACGGTTTGCCATGAGCAGAGGGGTGAATTGCTTTCCCGGGTGGGCACAAGGTCGTTCATCAGTGACACAGCTCCCTTGTGTCTAGTGGGATCTCATCGCGCCCACTGGGGTCCACGCTCAGAAATGTCGGTCTGTGGGTGGCGTCTCTGCAGGAGGCATCCCTTCAGCCTGACCTTTGTTAGCTCTGGTGACTGGGAAGATGGATGCTCATTTCCTGAATGTCAACAATGAGCTTTTAAACTGAGCATGTGTTTTCCCAGCCCTGTGTGTAATGAGGTGACAAAATGAGTAGAGATAAAACTGGTGTGAGGCAGTCTGACTGCCTTATTATTATTTCCCTTGCCCCCTCCCCCAACCTGGTAGCAGCTGCCACCCCCAGGCATGACAAGGGGACCTGTTAATGGGTATTTAAGCCATAGCACCGGATGGACCTCCATTAACCCCAGAAGCCTTTGGACAGCAAAAGGAGAGATACACCCCAGTACCGTGGAGACATGGAGGTAATGTCCCAGGGTCCCCAGGCACTGCCAAGTGACAGATGGCAAGGAGAAGATCTCTCAGGATCCTGAGGCCCAGTTCTTCAGGTTATCATTTGAGGTTGGGAGGGCAGAGGTGAGAGAGGGGTCGTGATGAGGCCAGGCAGTGATTTGGGAGAGCACTTCTCAGCCAAGTTGGGGAAAGAGCCAGGTGGGTGCCCTGGGGGAACCCAGAGCCCCAGGATGGGTGGGACCCCAACAGGAGGGGCAAGTCCCTGGGCCTTTGCCTTCTTGGGTTTTTGCATGGTCTTTCTGGACATAGTCAAGGAAAAAAGAAAAGCATTCTATTTACTTTGTTATTGAATGGCTGAACAAAATAAAATAAAATGATTTTTTTTCTCTAACTAAGGGAATGTTTTCCTCTTGGGGGCGTAGAATTAGGGAGTGAGGGAACTGGAAGGACCTTGGGCCTTGGCAGGGTGCGCTCCACATGGCTCTGTGGCTTACTCGAGCTCACCCACAGCACATGAGGATGCAGCCAGGCCTAGAACTTGAATCTTCTGCACGTTGGCTCTTTTTTCTCATCCTGCTAATAGTGGGCATGTTGTCTTTAAAATGCTAATGAAATTATCAGGCTCTTTCCCTGGTTTTAGAGGAAAGGGAGGAGCTGGGAGAGAAGAGGCCAGAAGGGAGAGGGAAGATAAGCTATTCTGGTCACCAGGGAGGTTTGGCTGACTGGAGGTTTCCCAGCCCTGGCTGAGGGCTAGAAGTTTTTTTTTTTTCCCCTTAATTTTTTCTTTTGAAAAATTTCAAATGAAAAGTCAGAGATACAGTCCAGTTTCATCAGTTGTTAACATTTTGCCAATGTGTGCAGAAGGTGGCTCTAATTAGATGCATATCTAATTTTTGCATATGTAATATATATAATTTGATGGATTATGTAAAATATGTAAACGCGTTAATATAATCATGCTATTTACGTATCTGTATATAATTTTTTTGGTTGAAACCTTGAGAGTTTGTGGACATCCAGATGATTCACCCTAAATACTTTTAACATGTTTCCAAAGAACAAGGATTTTCTGCTACATAACCATAGCTTCATTATCACACCATGGAAACTTAACATTGGTACAAAACTATCATCAAATATACAGCTCATATTCTGATTTCTCCCACTGTCATTTTTAGCTTATAGGGTTACTTTTTTTGAGACAGGGTTTTGCTCTGTTGCCTGGACTGGAATGCGGTGGCGTCATCATAGCTCCCTACAGCCTCAAACTCCTGGGCTCAAATAATCCTCCCGCTTTAGCCTTCTGAGTAGCTGGAGACAACTGTGCCTGGCTAATTTTTTTTCCCCTTATATTTTATAGAGACAAAGTCTCACTGTCTTGCCCAGTCTTGGTGTTGAACTCTTAGCCTCAAATAATCCTCCAGCCTTGGCCTCCCAAAGTGCTGGGATTACAGGTGTGAGCCACCGCACCCAGCCAACTTTCTGAAACTGTAAACTTCTAGGAATTAAAAAGTATTTCTTGACTTCATCTCAGTGTGTATCTGAGAACTCGATCAGTGTTGTGTAACGATGAACTGATTTTTCATGAGTGTCTTCAACTGTGTGACTCACTGTAAAGAACATTTCAGAGCGTTTTGACCTAAGAGCATAAGCACCTTCAAGCAACAACACCCAAACATCTGTGGCTGAAGAGGTGGCGTTTGTGGCCTCCATGCCACCTCCACTCTGAAGCGCCATCTGCCCCAGCAGCCAGCTTCCCTGGGCTCCTCTCTCCCCCTCTTCCTTCTCCCCTTCCTGCCCCTCCGAGAAAAATGAGTCTACTTCCCCCCTCCTCTCCTTCACCACTCACATTTTATCGTTTAATTCCACTTCAAATCCCCTTTTCCTCCACGCTGCCTTCTCCCTGGCTCAGCTGCCACAGGTAAACCCACCCTCATTTCACAGCACCCTCTCCCTGGGGCTGGAGTTTCTCACCTCTTCTCCCGCTCTCAGGTCCCTCTGTGGGTCTAGTCATGTGTGTCTCACACAAAAGTAGTCTCGGTAATAAGCCTGTGTTAAGGAGAAGAAAAGCTGTGTTGGAAAATGCTCCCATGTGTTTTAGCTTGATTCCTATTTATCGCATAAATTGCATTTATCTCAACAACAAAGGAGTGTTTACAAGCTGTGATGCTCCTAATCGTGCTTAATCTAACCTATCACCTGTTTTGAGTTTTCTTACGTCTCTTTTCCATCCTTGTCCACATTTAAATATACAGCAAGAGTGAAAACAGTTTCACTTTCTGTAAAAAGTTATAAGTTGTGAAATTAAGCGTAACAAGACCTTAAAAGTGCCTAAAAAGACACCTCCATGGATTCTATACAAGAGTCTCCCTACTTCCTTGTTCTTCTCTTCTCAAATTTAGTTTTCCTCAAGAATCAGAAAGAAGGTTAAAATAAGTAACTTCTGATCAATCTTACCGTCAACTGTCCCCAACCCCATTTAGTAGTTCTTAACAATGCTGTGTTCTCCAGCTTTCATTTTAGATGTTTTAGTTTATAACATTTATTTCTGTGGGGTGGGAAATATATTCCAGGTTCCAAACAACCGACCCACAAGTGAACATTTGGAACACAGGTCGTTGATGGGTGTGCCTGCCGGTACTTGTCTCAAAGTCTGAAAGTGAAAACCGGCTCTTTAACTCTAGATGTGTCAGTCTTTTCCCGTCCATAGTCCATTCACATTCCTGTTGGGGCAGCCCTTCTCGTCTGCCCCGGGATGCACAGCAGATCTTCCTGGTGGGTGAGGTGAGGAGGGGCAAAGCCCCTTAGAATGGGACCCTGATCCCGTTTGACCCAGTGCCTCAGCATAACCACGGCCCCAGCTTCCCGAGGCACACGAAGCAAGTGTACACAAAGGGATCATAGCGCATGCTCGTCAGTGACGAGTGACACATGAGTAATTATATGGAGTAAGAGAGATCATCTTGGGCTGGAGCGATAAGAGGAAGCTTCCTGGATGAGGCGGGTAGAAACTAAAGGCAGACCTCGGAGGGTGCAGCATAATTAGAGGACGGGAAGGGGAAGGTTGGGGGTGCCCATGCCGTGGTCGGTGGCCTGCATGCCCCTGAGTAGCCCGGGGTGCTGGTTAAAAATGCAGCTCCCTGGGCACCCACACAGGTCTCTTCAGTTAGCATCGCTGGGAGAGCAGCCCAGGAGTCTGTTGTTTACAAGTTTCCCAGGTGAGTCCAAGCCACTGATTGAGAGGAATAAACATGACCCGGTGAGGCCCATGGTGTGGTCCACAAATCTTGGGGGCCTCAGTTTCCCTAGCAGCCGGGGTGTGAAGTAGAAAAGCAGAATGGGTCCCGTATGTGTGGTGGTGATAGTGGACATCAGTTCCCTGTCATTCATTGGTGCTTTCCACGTGCTGGACACTGAGGTAAGCCTTTGCCATACTTCAACCCCCACAACAGCCTTTAGGAAGTAGGAATGTTAATGGTCTGCTTTTACACAGGAGGAAATGGAGACTGAGAGAGGTTAAGTGAGCTACCCAAAGCCACACAGCCAGGAAGTGGCGGATCTGGGGTCCCAGTGCAGATCTGTGAGACAGAAAGCAGAGCGGCGGGTTGGGGACCCAGGAGCTGTTGCATGATGACTCAGGAGGGAGGTTCGGCAGGTTTGGCCGTCTCTGTTCACCGCAGGGAGGGCTGCTCGTGCCTGAATATGCCAATCCATTTCTTTCTATTAAAGTCAAAATAAATAATCTGTTGTGCTTTGGGGGAAGCCTTGGAGTGCTCTCGACCCCATCACAAACTGCTAATCCTCCAGACGTCACACTCTGTGTGGAGAGACACCCCTAGGGGCAGGGAACATTCTGGACAGAGACTCTTCTGTTCTCACGGTGACTGGCCCACACGGCCCTGCGGATTTCATCCTGTTTAATTCCTCTCCAAAAATTCAAACTAACTGACTCTCCTACAAGGAATGCTTTGGATAAAGAGATGGCTGTGATAGCAGAGTTCATTTCCACCCCTCACGTCCAAAAAACAAGCAGATTTTCCCCCACCTCCTTCATTTCTATCATGAAATCTCTTTATCTCGTTTGAAAAGGGAGCCAGGGCGGAGAACTCAGCACCCCCCTCAGCAGATACAAGTTCGAACCAATACTTTACATCGTGGAGCCTGTGGGGAAGAATCAACTAAAATCCGAGGTCCTGTGACAGAAACTGTGCGGGAGCGGCAAAAGGAAGGCTTTTAAAACCTGAGGGCAACTTTGGCGCTGCAAACGTGAGGCGTCTAAACATGCCACAGCAAGTGGGCGGGAATCCCCGCCTGTGCAGCCGCACTCAGAGGTGGCACCGGCCTCCCTCCTTCAGCATGGTGCTGTTTTCCCCTAGCGGTCCGGTCTTCCTTTTCAGATCTTTGGCCTTGGCCTGTGAACTCCACAAAGGCAGGATTGTGCCTGTCTCGTCTGCTTGTTTTTTTGGACGTGAGGGGTGGAAATGAACTCTGCTATCACAGCCATCTCTTTATCCAAAGCATTCCTTGTAGGACAGTCCACTTAAATTTTTGGAGAGGAATTAGACAGGATGAAATCCGCAGGGCCGTTTGGGCCAATTGCCATGAGAAAAGAAAAGAGTCTCTGTCCAGAACTTTTCCTGCCTGGGGGAGGATAGCCCTAGCGCACAGTAGGCAGTTTATCTTTGCTGAACTGGTGCGTCTCTTGCTTATTGCCCGGGGAGGCACCAGAGCTTGGTGATTCCTGTCGTCCGCGGTGGGTGCCTTGGGAACTTCAGCCTCTCTCTGAGCAGGGACCGCAAGTTGCCACCTGGGTATATGACCTATAATTCATCTTATCTCAGTGTTAAACCCATAATTCATTCACGTGGGTTTGGTTTTGTTTTTGAAAATGGAAATGGAGTTTCCTGAAAAGTAAACTCACTTTGATCTTGACACATGAAGTCAAAGTACAAGATTTCTGTAAGTGAAAGTACAACATTTCTGTAGTATTTCTGCTTAGACTGTGCTAATGGCATCAAACAGTCAAGTAGAGTCATGAGCGTTTCCAGAGGGCTAAGAGGCTCTCTGACAAATCATTATAATTCCATGCTTGTTCAGGTGCTGGTTTCCCTGGCTACAGAGAGAGAGAGAGAGAGTTTGTGGAAAGAGGAATGAAGATTTGATCAGAAGTCTAAATAGAAACAGTCCTTTTTTAAAATTTTTATTATTTTTTTTTTTACGGGGGCGGGGGGGGGGGCAAAGGGTTGAATTAGCACACTTCCAGGGCTGAGAGGCAGGAGTGTGAACAGAAAGTCAACCGTGACCATCAGCGGGTCAAGTGCACCACTGTGATGCCCCTGGTGTGTGGAGACGTGGGGGACAAGGCCCACACCCACCAGGTTGCTCCACAGCACAGCCGAGTTACACGGGATAACCTGTCACCTGCTCCACGTGGGACAACAGCACGCGTCAAGGTGCAAAGGAAGGCTTCTGGGGCTTTTTCTGCCCAGGAAGAAACTCAGGGGCCACCTGGAGGAGGTCACAGCTGCAATATTAGCCTCGTTTGCAATCTTTCTACCCAGCAGGATAAAGAAATCTTTTTTTTTTTTTTTTTTTAATTTTGAGACAGAGTCTTGCTTTGTTGCCTAGGAAAAGCAAACCAACTTCTCGGATCACCAATTTAAAAAATGGTCAACAAAAACTTTTTTTTTTTTTTTTTTTTTAAAGAAAGCATTCAAGAGTGCACTCTCAGAAACTAACCTGAACAACTCAAACTTCTGTATTCCTGGGCCAGCTTGCTCTCAACCATGTTGTCTGCTGGTCTCGGTAGAAAAAGCCGGTCGGTGCTCTGCAGAGTCAGAAAATGGAGAAAGGAGTCCGTGCTCCACCCGCTGCAGCTGGGGGCAGGACGGGGCCCAGGCACACGCCCGCTCCGCTTAGCCATGAGGAGAGTTTTCCTCTCTCTGGGAGAGGCAGAGGAGTGAGTTGAAGAAGAGGAGATGGGTGTCCCCTGCCTGTTTGGTGGCCTCACATGGCTGTCACTTTCTGTTTCTGTGTAGAACCTGGGTTCTACACTCAGGGGAGGGGGTGCAATAGGAGAACCCCAGAAAGCAGAGTGGGATGGAGAGAGACCAGCCTCTGGGGAGAGGCAACCTGAAGTCATGAGTCTCCTGACAGATGCTGCAAGTTTTCTCACACTTGGGCCATTTCCACCTGTTGATAAAAAATTTAAAAATTAAAAAGTACTAGAGCTATCTCAGGAGACAAGACTTTTGCGAAGGCTCGGAACAAAAATAGAGAATAGTGTATCATTCTTTCAGCGGCTGCTCATCATGCTTGCCAGGAAATCAAGATCAGATGCCATGGGGGCTGGATCCCTGAGGACCCCAGAGAACACACGTTGCTCCCCCAAAATCTGACCCACACACTGTTTCCATCCTCTCTGCAGGATACCCCGAATGAGAAAGTAAATGAAAGGCAGAGCAAGTCATTCGGCTCCTGAGGCAGGCGGGTAACAAGTCACTGCCCGGCTGCTGCTTCTGAGATAGACCTCGTTTCCCTCCTATGGACCCTCCAGGCTGGGGGACAGGTGGGGAAAGGGGTGTGGATGCAGTTTGAGCTTCGATTTAAATGAGAGGACAGTGGCGGCACTGAAGATGGGAAGAAGCTCCCACAGAAAGCGTGGCAGGGGAGGAAGGAGCAGTTCGGTTCTGTCTGTGCCATGCCCTGTGGCCACAGTCAGGAAAGCTCTGGATCCTGCCATTTGGTCTTCGAGTTCCTCCTTGTTTAATGTGGAAAATGTCATTGATAAAAGCCAGAGGGAAGGTTGGAGGCCATCTCATCATCTCTGTCGAAAATAAAATCCTTTGGCCTGAGACATGCTTACTTCTGGTGCGTGAGGGGATGTGTGGTTATTTAAAAAGTCTATTCCGTCTAGCTAAGGTGCCAAGGAAGCGGGGGAGGAGGGCAGGGAGAGGCTGACAGTAGCATATAAGGTGAGTAGAATGAGGTTTTATCAAGATCACTTGGTAGAGATTCAGAAATTCATATTCTTCTGAGTGCTGTTTGCGTCCTTGAGCCTGGGGCGGGGAGGGGCATGGAGAGGGTAGAGCCCAGGACATCGACCCCTTACATGTACACACCCTGGCTACACAGAGCTGATTTATCTCTTGTTGCTGTAGCTATTTTTGGAAATAATCAATTCCTTTAAAATTTTTATTTTCCACTTTAAAGAAAAAGAGAATACAGTGAACAGAAAACTCTAATTACTTATATCCCCTGGTGTTCATGTCTAATCCTTGCCAATATTTATATCCATAGTCATCAGTGTGAAGCTACTACTTTGTGTTCTAATTTTTCACTATGTTTTTGTCTTCACATAGGTAGACAGTTAAGTTGTAGTCACTGAAAACGCTAGATGGGAGGGAGACATACATTCCCACTTTTATCATTAACAGCTACCAGCTCCTAGAATCCCTCCTATTGCAGGTTTTGGAGGGTTAGCCTCAGAACTCTGCAGGTGTGAACAGTCCATCCTTGGCCACCTTTTCCTAGAAAGGTCTAATGTGATCTTAGCTAATCAAAAACATATTTCAACTCCCAAACGGTTTCAAGAGTTTGAAAAGCCCAGGCCCCGAAGAAACAAAGCAAGCTGGAAGGTCTTGGCTCCCTATAACTTTATAACAGGACATAAGTTTAAAGTCCAAAAGGGCTCAGATTTCTACCTCATGTTTGATGTCTCAGACGTCAATCCAGACAAGAGCCAAGTGGACTTCCCTGTACCCCGGCCCACGGCAGGGAGATGAAGGTGCAGCAGCCCCCTCGCAGCCCTCCCGGCAGAGGTGCGTGGGGACAGAGACACACGTCACACCAGCATCGGTAACCTGCAGTCTCTTCTCCCTGGCTCTCCTGGATGAATGCAAGGTGACCCTGCCTGCCCACTGTTGCCAGATAACAAGTGGCTTAGCCCCAGAGGTGCTGGGGGGTGGCAAGCAGAACGAACGGTGAGCGGCAGTGCCATGTAAGGCCCAGTAGGGCTTGCGGAGGCATAATGGGAACGCAGAAAGGCCAGGTGCAGACAGAGCAGACACCTGGAGGCAGTTAGAATCTGCCCAAAGCTTCCCAGACCTGGGTTAAGGGAACAGTGATAAAGTCCGCAGCTAAGGAGCCAGGAGTGCCTCACCAAGGGTGGCTTTTTTCACCTCTCTCCTTTTGCTCTTTTCCTTTTAAGATCATATGTACAGTTTATATAAAATATAACTTTAGGTGTTCAGCTTACATGATGGGGAGGACTAACCCTAGCTACTTACTTACAGGCAGAAACTCCGGCTTTATTTGTTGTTGTTTTCCCAGCGTAGCATCAGGACAGAGTGAGGCCTCTGTGAAGCTTTGGGGTGAGCCTCTTCTTACGTTCTTCTGAGCTACTGCCAAACTACAGGGTGAGATCTGGTCCCTCAAAGTGAAGCAAGTGCTCAGTTCCTAAACAGAGCCTGTGTAAAACCTTGTTGATCTGCTGTCTATTTTTGTTTATTTTGTTGTTTCCTTTTCAGATTACTTGTGATTTGACACCCTGCATAGGACGAAAACTTAGTTTTCTTTTATTGACTCTCATATAGCAGATAGGATGTCTCGCATTTGACATATGCGTTTGTAATCCCATTAACTAGCGTAGTTTAAGATGTATGAGGAGTTCATACCACAGGCAAGTACATACCTGATTTCATTCTCCTCTCTCGGTATGCCTTTCCAACAGAGCCCTCCACCCTGATACAAACCTGTGAGGTGATCCACAAACCCAAGCACCAAGAACTCATTTCCGGTCCTTGTCAGATGGGCATTGGTGCCATTCGCTAACCAGGATGGAAACCATGCCCTTAAATTCTCCGAAGGAGGTCTCGGCCTGCAAGGATGGAGAAGACTGTCAGGAAAACGGAGTTCTACAGAAGGGCGTCCCTGCCCCAGGAGATAAAGCAGAGTCGGGCCAAATATCCAATGGGTACTCAGCAGTTCCGAGCCCTGGTGCGGAGGATGACACGCGGCACACTATCCCGGCTGCCACCACCACCACCCTAGTGGCTGAGGTCCACCAAGGGGAGCGGGAGACCTGGGGAAAGAAAGTGGATTTCCTCCTCTCCGTCATTGGCTACGCTGTGGACCTGGGCAACGTCTGGCGCTTTCCCTACATTTGCTACCAGAACGGCGGGGGTCAGTATCACGGCCATGAGCGGACGCGCTGACCCAGGGCCGGGGTGGTTGTAGATCCTCTTGAGAGGCCAGAAGGTAGAGCATGTGCTTTCTGTCTTAACTGATAGGAGTCCGGGAACAAGATGGTTTAGACGTTCAAGGTAGTCTAGAAGACAAATTTCCAGGAAGCCAAAAGCTTAAGTCAGCAAAATCTGACCTCGCAGATGTTGAGCATCATTCGTGCTTCATTTGTCGAAGGGCCTCCTGCCCACCCCGCGTTATCCGAGCTCTGTCGTCCTCTGCCAGCCAGAAGGGAGGGAATGGCCGGCAGCACTGTGCCGAGTTCCTTCACTCCTGCCGGCAGGTTCCCCTCGGAAGAGTCCAGAGGGTTAGATCTGCATAAAGAAAAATTGGAGGGAGGGGAGGGTGGCTCCAGAGTCCCAGACCCTTCTGGGCCTTTGGACCTGTGTGAGGTCAGAGAAAGGCATCAACTTAAGTGTAGAGTCTTAAGTTGCCAGTCTGGGCATATTCCAAAGCCGGACCCAGCCATAGCATGACGTTAATGCCAAGCCCAAACTAGGCATAGGTATGCCTTGTATCTCCTACGAGAATGTTAGATATTTTAGGCTAGAGACCTTATCTTGTTCCTTCTTATACCCCTAAAGCCTCTAGAGTAGTTAACTTGTAGATTATCAAAAATAGTAGCTGACTGTTGCATGAATACGGGAACCTGAGGGAGAACGAAGCAGGGGAGAGGTGTGAGGAGTAGGTGTGGGGAGTAGGTGTGGGGCCTCCAAGTCGACACTGGACTTGTTATCAGAATAGGAAAAGGACAAGGACAGGGTGTCAAATTAGTCAGTATTTATTTTGATGGGAGTTCTTGCAACCAATTTGGGAGGGCAGCTAAAAGGAAGTTTCAGGATAATTCATTTCTGTCACCCTCACCCTCACTTCTGTGGCTGGACACAAACTTGCCTGGATTTGCTGCTCTTAAGGACTTCTGTCCTTGTGGCTGCAAAGACAGTTCCCAGGGCACCCAGGAAGCCCACAGCTTCCTGCCTGGGAGGAGCAGAAGTCATAATCACCTTATCTCCAGGCGCAGAGGACTAACCTTTAGCCTGAGTGCTATATAAGGGGCAGGGTCACCAGTGATGTTTTCCCTACGCTCATTCCAAAGTGTAAAGCCGTCAAGCAAAAACCCTTTGGACAAAACCTACCATGAAAGCACAACATGGTTTTTATTCTCAAGTAGGTTTATCCAGTGTGATTATAAGTTATATAGACCTTTCTGAGCTGTACTGATTTCAGATTTCTAGGTCCAAAGCATTTTATGGGAGGGAAAGTCATCAGGGAAAATCACAGCTGACCCACTCTTTGGGCTAAAACTTAGGCTGCAGGTGAGCATTCCCCAAATTGGCATTTCCAAACTCAGCCTCGGCCACAAGATCCAGGAGACACCAGCATGCCCAGTTATGCAGCAGCTCTGTGCTTTCTTGTTCCATGAAAAACTCCCCTTTTCTTCCACCTCTGCAAAGGTAGCTTGTGAGGGATCATTCTGGCTCAATGGGATTATGGAAACAGAGTCGAATGTCAATAATCAAGTGTCTGGAGTCATACCAATGAACAAAGATAGCAATTCAGTGACTCCAAGATGGTTGCAGCTATTGTTACAGATTGTCATTCCTGATCTGTCCCAAGGGTCCCAAATACTAGTTGTGTCAGAGTCACCTAGGGAGATTGAAAACATTTTGTGTTGCACCCATATGTGGAGATTCTGCATGAGAAGGTCTGGGGTAGACCCAGGAATCTAGGTGTCAGTTTTTAAGCTCACCAAGTGCTTATGATGCATGGCTGGGTTTGGGAACCTCAGCTCTCCTCAACCGTGTCATGTTCCAGGGAGGACTTTGGGGTTCAGAGAGGGGAATTGTCCAGGGTTCTCTAGGCAGTCAGAAGTAGAGGTGGGCCTAGTGCCTGTTCTGTTCACTCCCAAACCTAGCTTTCTTTACATTTAATCTATTGGCCTCCTCTCCGAAACCTCGTTTTGGCTGTGGAGCTCTGTCTACTACTTCTTCTGGCAAAGACTAAAACTAGGGGAGCACGGTGTGAGGTCACTCAGCACAGGGTGGCTTTGTGATGCTTGCACATCAGATGGTTATGTGATTCTGAGCATGACAGATCAGCTGGGATAGCTGTGGGCAGGGAGTGAAATTGTCTTTCATCTGCCTCAGGGGCGTTCCTCCTCCCCTACACCATCATGGCCATTTTTGGGGGGATCCCGCTCTTTTACATGGAGCTCGCGCTGGGGCAGTACCATCGCAACGGATGCATTTCGATATGGAGGAAAATCTGCCCGATTTTCAAAGGTAACTCAAGGTTTTGGGTGGATGGGTGAATGGGGCCTCCAAGGAAGTGGTGATTTCCATGAATGGGTGGGAGCTGGGGACCTTCTTTTGGAAATCAGTTAGGCCTTAGGTATCCCTGGAAGATAACTTGGGTAATTAAGTTTTTGACTACTTAAATACTGTGAAATTGTTCAAGGAAAACAGAATAAAGGGCAATTAAAAGTAAACTAAATTTAAGGCCGGGCGCACTGGCTCACGCCTGTAATCCTAGTACTCTGGGAGGCCGAAGCAGGGTGCATTGCTCGAGGTCAGGAGTTCGAAACCAGCCTAAGCAAGAGCGAGACCCCGTTTCTACTATAAATAGAAATTAATTGGCCAACTAATATATATAGAAAAAAATTAGCCGGGCATGGTGGCACAAGCCTGTAGTCCCAGCTACTTGGGAGGTTGAGGCAGTAGGATTGCTTGAGCCCAGGAGTTTGAGGTTGCTGCGAGCTAGGCTGACGCCATGGCACTCACTCTAGCCCAGGCAACAAAGAGAGACTCTGTCTCAAAAAAATAATAATAAAATAAAATAAAAGTAAACTAAATTTGACAATTTTAAAGCATTAACAGCACGCATAAATATTTTCTAAAACATGTAACCTTACAAATCCATATGAGTAAATTGCTGCATTACTGCTTTTTCCGACGTCTTCCAGACTCCTTGGGGAATGACATGGATGGTAGCACCCACCCTTCCCTTTCCTCTGGGCTGTAGGACTCTCCAACACCCTGTTTCAGCCTTTCATTGTTGGGCTACCCTGTAAACTTGGCCTCTCTCCCCTGTCTCACCCATTGCCCAGGGATTGGTTACGCCATTTGCATCATTGCCTTTTACATTGCCTCGTACTACAACACCATCATGGCCTGGGCACTGTACTACCTCATCTCCTCCTTCACGGACCAGCTGCCCTGGACCAGCTGCAAGAACTCCTGGAACACTGGCAACTGCACCAACTACTTCTCTGAGGGCAACATCACCTGGACGCTCCATTCCACATCCCCTGCTGAAGAGTTTTACACGTAAGTACATGTAAGTGAGGGGGTGGTCTGTCCCGGCCCGCGGGACCTTCTGTTACTTGCGGGGGCGAGGGGGACCGTGCCTGAAAGAGATGGGCGAGAGAAAGGAACGAGACCAAGCAAAGGGTTGTCAAGGTCTACTTTACTTGGATTTTTAGTAGGTTTTATATACAGAAACAAGGAAGTAGAAACAGAAAAATAGAGTGGGGGGATGATGAGGCTTGGGTGTGGGCCAATCAGCCCCAATCAGCATCCCAATGGCACCGGAAGCTGTTTGTGATGGATCACTCAACCCCAACCTGGCAGAGGGTCGGGAACAATTGCAGGTAGCATGCCCTGGAGCAAGCATGTCATGGAATGCATTCTTCTCAGAACTATAGAGGGGGGGAGGGCTGGGTGCTATTTTTGTCTTAGGCTATTTTCCGGGCCGCCCTGTGCGTGCGTAGGACAAGTCGTTGGGATGTGGAGGGTCTTAGTCTCCAACATCGGTCTGTTAGCAGCAGGCCATACCTCTGGGGTTTGGCTTTGTAGGAAGAAGGCAGGAGCCAAGAGCTCTTCACCCCTCTCCTGGCAGATTTCTGAGAGATGAAGCTATCAGGGCTAGGGGAGCAAATATGAGCGACAGAGTAGCAGGGCCAGAAGCTCTACCTCAAGGGCTCCATAATCTGGCCCTTGCGCACCTCCCCACCTCCTTTCTGATGTGCCAAGCCGGATTGCCCTGGCATGCCCAAGCGGATCCCTGCATCCACATTCCAAAACTATTTCTCTGCATCAAAACCACCCTTCTTCCTGGGTCCTCGTCTCAACCAGCTATCATAGAAGCAAAGCATCCTACAACTTCAACAGTTCAAAACTGTTCAAATAATTTCTGGTTTAATGTGTTGACTTCTTAAGTGGAATCTACCTTTTGGAAGAAGATGCTTGTTGAAGGTAGTATTTTTTAATGCTAGAACTTCAGGCAATGACAGCCCAAAGAGAGAGCTCCTTTGGGGTAGGGGAGGAGGGCCCACTACCCACACATATACATCCTCATGTACCCAAAAGCCAGTCATATTGGTCAAAGGGGTTCAGGCCTCAGCCAGCAAAGGGGAAACCAGGAATTCTGTCTTTGGGCTGAGCACTCCTGCCAGGGGCAGCAGACTGAACGTACAACCTACTCCTTCAGGATGGGCAGGGCCAATCCCAGCTTTTCCTGGGGCTCAGTGGCCACTTGGTCCTTGCAGGGCTGTGTCCATTTTCCCCCAGTCTCCCTTCTAGAGGTATCCCAGATTGTGTGCCTAGATCACTGTCCAGACCCTCTCATGGGCCTTTCTTTCTCCCGTACCCTAGGCGCCACGTCCTGCAGATCCACCGGTCCAAGGGACTCCAGGACCTGGGTGGCATCAGCTGGCAGCTTGCCCTCTGCATCATGCTGATCTTCACTGTTATCTACTTCAGCATCTGGAAAGGTGTCAAAACATCTGGCAAGGTGAGGAGGACTCTGGCCGCTGATCCAGGCCTGCCAAGGTGCCCACAGAGCCTGGACAGCTACTGGTCAGGGGACAGTCATTGTTTTCTTCAATGCCAGACACATTCCATGATGCTCAATCCCTCTATTTTCTAAATCTGTTAGAAAATGCTAGAAATGAGCCAATCTCAAGAATCATTATATGATTTTTTTTTTTGGAAATTTCTTTAACCCACTGATAGTATCACAATTAGTAATAGTGGCAATAATTTACTGGAAACCCATCATGGACCATGTTCAGTGCTTTATATACACAGGCCAACTCTCTGTTGTTTCTTGCTAGATATTTGCCCATTCTACAAATGCAGAGCAGGCTTTGAGGTTTGTATTGGCCGAGCTGAACCAGATCCTTACCCGTCTGATTCTGAAGGCTGTGATCTTTCTGCCACACCACCTTGTCTCCTAAAACGACAGAAAAAAGGTGGATCACCTTTCTCAAGGCCTTGAAGAATAAAAGACAGTGATATCCACCCATTTCCCTCCCCTGCCCCTTCTGGAACAGCATGGTAATAACCTGTATTTCTGCTCTCCTTCCTTACAGGTGGTGTGGGTGACAGCCACCTTCCCTTACATCATCCTTTCGGTCCTGCTGGTGAGGGGGGCCACCCTACCCGGAGCCTGGAGGGGTGTTCTTTTCTACTTGAAACCCAACTGGCAGAAACTTCTGGAGACAGGGGTAAGATGGGGGAAACGGTACGCACCTGTCATTTTACTAAATGAAGCTAGTCCTCCTCTGTATAGGATGGTAGGGACAACTGAAATTTGCTTTCAGTGTGCAAGTCTGCAATGATGTTTAAAACCAGAACTACAAGCACAAAAAGCACAGTTGAGGCCGCTGGATGGGTTTATACCTAAACGATAGGCAGAGAAATTACATTTGTTTGCACTTGATATGTGGCCATTCCTGGAAGGTGCCTTACAAGCTGGTCTCCCACCTCTGTGCAAAGCCACATGGAGGCACGAGAGGTGCTGGCCCCACAGGTGCCCAGTGTGACCTTGGGTCTCACTCCCTCCCCTCCCTAAACCCTATCCCTGCTGTGTTCCAGGTATGGGTGGATGCTGCTGCTCAGATCTTCTTCTCTCTTGGTCCGGGCTTTGGGGTCCTGCTGGCTTTTGCTAGCTACAACAAATTCCACAACAACTGTTACCAGTGAGTATCTGGGGCCCTCAAGCAAAGCTTGAAAGTGGGGTAAGCAAAAGTTAGCTAGTCTAGAGGAAGGTGATTGAACTGACGGCCTCAAACTTGACCAGGCTGTGGCCATGATAACACTACCCCTTACAGGAACCACAGGTCCCTGACCAATTCACCCATGGCCAGACCACCCACCCAGGCTGTAACTTCACTTGGGCTACTCAGAGGTTTCGAGAGTCCCTGTGTATAGAAAAAGTAATAATTAAGAAATTCTAAGGCTGGGTGCAGTGGCTCACACCTGTAATCTGCACTCAGGAGGCTGAGGTGGGAGGATTGCTTGAGATCAGGAGTTCGAGACCAAACTGAGCAAGAGTTGAGACCTCATCTCTACAAAAAATAGAAAAATTAGCCAAGCATGCTGGCACATACCTGTAGGCCCAGTTACTCACAAAGCTGAGGCAGGAGGATCATGTGAGCCCACGAATTTGAGGTTGCAGTTAGCTACGATGATGCCACTGTACTCTAGCCTGGACAACAGAGCAAGACCCTGTCTCAAAAAAAAAGAAATTCCAAAGCAAATTTATAAAAATTATAACATACAATTAAATAGTTAGGTTTAATTAGTTAATATGTTTAACAACAAAAATTGTAGTGTGACCATTTGTTTTATGTATGTATATAAAAAAAAAGTAAACTGATTGAATTATTTTGATTAACACAAAATGCCACAATTTTTTCTTACAAAAACTCCAGAAGTTTTAACAAAACTGGAGTGTTGTACTAATTATGATTTAAATATCACTCATCATTTTTAGGCTTTTAATGTTCTATCACAGACGGCAGTATCCAGCAATCTATTTATGCTATTCATAAGATAATTATAGAATTTATTTTTTAAAAAGTGGGGGGGGGTGATTCACTTGTACCCCTTTAAATGGGACACCAGCCTAAAGTTGTATGATGAAATATTTTTAAAAGTGTCAGAGTATCTCTGTGGCAGTCTTTTGACTTTATTTAAAAATAATGTCAAAGTCTAAATAATGAGGACTTCACAAATGTGGAGCCAAGGCCTTATCCTAGCCCCCATTCTAACCTGGGCCCTGCTTCTGAACTAGGCCTATTTGAAATGGAGAGGTCTGTGTTGTGCTATTTCATAATAGGTCTGCCTTTTAAAACACCCCTTAGGCTTAGCACAATGGCTTATGCCTGTAATCCCAGCACTTTGGGGGGCTGAGGCAGGAAGATGGCCTGAAGCCAGAAGTTCAAGATCAGCCTGGGCAACATAGTGAGACCCTGTCTCTACCAAAAAAAAAAAAAAAAAAATAGAAAAATTAGTTGGGTGTGGTGGTGTGCACGTGTAGTCCCAGCTACTTGGGAGGCTGAGGTGGGAGGATCGCTTAAGCCCAGGAGTTCAAGGCTACAGTGAACCATGATGGCACCACTGCACTCCAGCCTGGGTTCCAGAGCAAGACCCTGTCTCAAAAAAATAAATAATTAATTAATTAAATAAATAATAAAACTCAACCCGCTATTCTCGCCATTCTCCCCACACCCTGTGTGGTAATCACAGCAGTTTGTGCTTCCAACCTGGGAGGTGGGCTCTGGGAGAAGGGGAAGGGACACCGGACAGTCCGGCCTGTTCAGCCCTTGGCACAGCTAGCCTGTCTCCAGCAGGGCAGGCACACAGACAGATGCTCCTTAGACTCCAACCTTGGAACTGTCTCAGACCCCTTGGGTTTCTCACTCCAGAGATGCCCTGGTGACCAGTGCGGTGAACTGCATGACCAGCTTCGTTTCGGGATTTGTCATCTTCACGGTGCTAGGGTACATGGCTGAGATGAGGAACGAAGATGTGTCTGAGGTGGCCAAAGATGCAGGTAAGACCTTAGGTTCTGTTTAGGTCTCCTGCTCCTACTGAATGGCTTGGCTTTGAACCTTTAGAAATATATAACTTTTAAATTATTCCCAAACGCTGCCTTACATTTTTCAAAGATTTGAGAGAAACTTAATGCCTTGGAGATCTCAACCCTTTGCATGCGTTCAGGCCACGCTGGGGATGGGGCAGCTCCCTTGGTGCCCAGGAGTGCAGGCTTCAAAAACCTACAGGCTTCAAAATATGACTGGGATGATTAGCAGTAAAACCAGCGGGTTTGGGACCTGTCATGGTTTTGGGATGGCTACAAGTCTAGTAAGCAAATAACTATTCTTAGAACTGCTCCTTGCAGAAAAATAAAAAGTAGCCAATGTGGCTGCTCCACTGTGAGGCTTTCATGGAATAAGAAAAGATCAACAGAGGTTGGAAAGGAGATGATTGGATCTAGAGGATGGGTGCCAGGGCTTTCTTGCTAACATACTGTCGCTGGCCTGATGCGGTGCTTTGACCAAGCCCGTACCCCAAATGAGGGTACCCCTAGCTAGCCCATGAGAGGTTGAAAATGTGTCCCTCATACTATCAAGAGGGACTTTAAAATAGCAGGAAGTCTTTATTCTAAGGTCTCTGTGACTCTACTGAAATCAGTTTAATATTTCCTGCTGGTCTGAAGCTAAAGAAATCAGAGGGACTAAATGCCGTGGGACTTTGGAAATATCGATCCTGGTCCTGAAAAAGCCACTGAATTGTTACATAGTAGAAACTCTTATACTTGTGTGCGGTTTTAGCAGTCTTAGGAGTCTCTGGTCCGTTTCCATCTCCCACATTAATTGGGGGCAGACACTTTTCAAGACGGACACTGTCTGCCCACCAGGATGTCAGGTGGCCAGGGGTGATGGTGTGCAGTGTGAGGAAGCCGTGGGTGTGTGTCAAGGCCTGATTCACGTGTAAGGCCCTGCAATAAGGATTGGAATTGTTGTTGTGCCTGAGTTTTCCTCTGTGATATCTTTGTAGGACAGGTCTCAGCAACCACCTCCTCTTTTCTCCCTGTCTGTCCCAGGGCCCAGCCTCCTCTTCATCACATACGCGGAAGCTATAGCCAACATGCCAGCGTCCACGTTCTTTGCCATCATCTTCTTCCTAATGTTAATCACACTGGGCTTGGACAGCACGGTGAGTGAATGGGGAGGGAAGATGGGCTCTGGGAGGATGAAGAGGAAAGGTGAGGAGGAGGAGGAGGAGGAGGAGGCGGTGGCAGCGGCAGCTATACTCCTTCCCTCCCATCCTGGCCATCTCTGGTGCTTCCCAAGTCCCTGGTTCACTCCTCAGTGATGGCACTTACCACCCTCTAGTACTGTAGAGTCACTAATGGGACAATGTGGGTAACGTGCTGGCACCAGCCAAGGACTCAGCATATGTGAACTGTCATTATTGTGCACTGCCCCTTGGCCAGATGATGGCACCTAAAGGCCAGGATGAGGTCCTTGTGTCTCTGCCCTGCCTAGCATTCAGCTCAGCAGCTTGTACTTGGCCTTTCTGGTGCAAAGTTTCCCCAGGAGACCTCCCATATTAAAGGTCTGCCCACACGTTATATTTTCTTCCCTGGACATCCTTAGTGAAGGGTTCTAAATGACAGTGTAAAACAGGGAAATATACTTCTAGATGCTTTCATGGTCCAGTGAGTCAGGAGAACTGGTCATGATCTGCTTGACTAGTCACTCAGCAATCTTACCCCTCCCTCCCATTCACTGTCGTGAAGTCCACAGACTTGTCCCAAAGCCTCCACTGTGACCGTGTGCATGCACCTCTCAGTTTGCAGGCTTGGAGGGGGTGATCACGGCTGTGTTGGATGAATTCCCACACATCTGGGCCAAACGCCGGGAGTGGTTTGTACTTGCCGTGGTCATTACCTGCTTCTTCGGATCCCTGACCACCCTGACTTTTGTGAGTACCACACCCCTCAGCTTTGAGTTCGCCTCCCTTAGGGCAGTAGAAGGCTACGAGAGGCCGTCCCTTTCCTTCCATCCCACAGGGTACCCTGGCTTCGGGGCCAAAGGATGGGGGCTTGTTACTCCCATTAAGAAATTTGTCATCAAGGAAAAGAATGTTGTTTCTGGCAGCATCTGTTTGAGAATCTGTGCAAAGTGTCTGGAAGCTCTAGCATTTTACAAAAGATCCAGCTAGATTTCAGGCTTGGCAAAATATCTGGAGGAAACTTAGGATTTTCTTTTCCAGTCCATTTCCTCTCCATAGGGCTGCTTTCATGGGACTGTCGCTTTAATGTCCTGATACACAGAACATCTGGAGGCTGGTATCTCATATGTATAATGCCACTCTGTCTCCTCCAAGAACTTGCAATGGTAAAGAAGTCAGACCCTTTCCACTCCAAATGACTTCAAAAAAAAACAAAGTGAGCCTGTGTCTCAAAAAAAAAAAAAAAAAAGAAGTCAGACCCTTACTGGCAATTTTTTTTTCCTTTGGCAGCTGAAATACTGTAAAGCCTGCATCAAGATAGTATCCACATGCATCCTAGGCTGTGTCCTGACTCAAGGCAGATTTTGCAAATATACATCTTCAAGCAGTAACCCCAATGGCCTTGGAGCTTCAGAGAGTTGGTGGGGTGGGGCTGAGTAGAACCCAAAGGAGTCATGAGTTAGGACAGGCGGCAACTGTGACCAAGGTCCTCAATGTGTCTGGTGTCATGGACCCTCCCAAATTCAGTCTCTGGAGGTGGAAGTTCTCCAGGAACACAATAGGTGTTCAGTAAGTTGAAGAAAGTTGAAAATAGATCCAGAGGCCCTTTGGAGTTTGTCTCTTAAAATGTAGTGGGGAGAAGAAACAAGTAAGAAGAATGTGTTCCATAGGACAGGAAGAGGTGTCTTACAGGGTGAGTACCTGGCCCACATTGCAAAGGCCAGTTCAAGGGGCAGGCTCTGGGATCCTTATAGTAGGTCCAAGGTGGGAATTCTCCAGAAATATCCTACGTTAAGAAGCTTCTGCGGGCCTGTGTAGTAAGGAGAGGCAGCGCCTTAGAGGGCCCTTAACTAGGCTCACACTCTCATTTCCAGGGCGGGGCCTACGTGGTGAAGCTGCTGGAGGAGTATGCCACGGGGCCTGCCGTGCTTACTGTCGTACTTATAGAAGCCATTGCTGTGTCTTGGTTCTATGGTAAGATGCTTCCTTCAGCCCCGCTGGGATCCTTTCTACACGACCCAGCCAGCACAACAGAGAAGGGCTGATTTCATCAAAGAGAGGCAGGGAGGGGCAGTTTACAGGTATGACCTCTTTATGGTTCTGTAAAATAATCTCAGCCATGTGCTTTCTCAGAAATAGGTCATTTCCTCCACACTCACACTCAGTACAACGGATTGCCCGTTCTCTTGGGAGGACATTTTTTTTTTTCCATCCAAGTTTGAATGTTTACCCAGTGGAGACAGGCTAAAGCAGTTCCATGTAGCTCATCCACGGTAGTTAAGATCCCGACGGGCTCTAACAATTGAACAGACAACACAGAATTAGTGCACAGCGAATGCATTTGCAGAATGTACAATATGCTACTGTTAAATGGAGTGGCCCCAAATTTAAATTTCTCAAGGAAGAGCTCCTTCCAGAGCCCTGAGACATAGCTTAGGAGTTTATCTTCTAGGGAAGAGGCAAGAATGCTTTTATTTGTGCTGTTTGCCTTGGTAAATCCCCAGTTCACTCCCCTCTGGTCCTGGGATGGAATTTGATAAGGGCAAAACCACCAGGGGTGCAGGGAGTGAGCTGACATCGGTCCATTGGCAGAGGTCCCAGGGGCCCCTGGGTGGGGATGGGGAAGGCACAGTCAATTGAAAAGAAAAACACCAGGTTCAGAGATGCCTCTCTTTCAAATCAAGAAGTGATTATTTCATTCTAAAAATATATTTATTGGCAGGATGCGGTGGCTCATGCCTATAATCCCAACACTTTGGGAGGCTGAGGTGGAAGGATTACTTGAGCCCACAGGAGTTCAAGGCTGCAGTAAGCTATGGTCATGCCACTGTGCTCTAGCCTGGGCAACAGAACAAGACCCCATTTCTTAAAAAAAAAAAGCATTTATTTTCTCACTATGATAATAAACCACTTTAGAATGGTAGTCATTATGAAGGGGAGGGCACATTTGAGTTGCACATGGGCCTAGTTTTTTTTAAAAGAAGAAATCCTCCCCACCTCCTTGGCAGTTCAGACGACAAAGTTCAAAGTGTGTGAACTGCTATAGATCTGCCCTGGGAACTGTTCCCCGCAGGGCAGCAACCGCCCAGCACCTCCCCTTTCTCAATTTCTCACCTGTTGGTGGGAGTTCTCCGTTCTCACTTCCGCACCAGTTACTTTTTATAGAAGAACCTTGATCTTGATTTGGCACATGAATGGGCATTATTGTGGTTAAAATTTTCTCTGGAACGTTTCCAGCGTAATGGTCAAAGACAGTCTCTGTTGGGCGGGATCACCATTCCTAGACAGAATGCAACGTTCTTTTCTATAACAATAAAGTCAAATGTACACTGATATCTCAGAAAGGCAGTGTGGCACCAAGAGGGGATGTTAGATCTCTTCCCAGTGTCCATTAATCTTCCCACTCTGTGTAGAAAGAGCTTTGTTTGCTTGCTATAAAAATACAGCTTTGTGACAAGTGTCCCAGTCCCACTTTCAGACAATGTTGGTGTCCCCGAGCTCTTCCCATGGAGAAATTCCAGAGCTGGAAGTTTGTTCTGGGTAGGAATTCCAGCTCCCTTCCTCCTTGTCATCCCCAGTGCTGATCCCAGTGACTCTGACTCGACCTGAAAATCAGGAAATAGGACCATCCCTGTCCTCTCTCAGTCCCTTTCTTTCTCTTTTGGGTGACTTCAGGCATCACTCAGTTCTGCAGTGATGTGAAGGAAATGCTTGGCTTCAGCCCTGGATGGTTTTGGAGGATCTGCTGGGTGGCCATCAGCCCTGTGTTTCTCCTGGTGAGTTGTTATTTCCCTTCTCCTTCTTGCCCCCGGAAAAGACGCTTACAAAAAAGAAATTTTATTTAAGTATAACATATACAGAAAAGCATGCAAATCCTAAGTGTACATCTCAAAGACATTTTATAAATTGAGCACACCTACGTAGCCAAAACCATACCAAGAGACAAAAACATGACCCGCACTTCAGTAGCACCTCTTGTGCCCTCTCCCAGCCTCTCTGCCCACTGTGGGTCCCCACTCTTCTGAATTCTAACACCGTAGAGCAGTCTGGGCTTCAGTCACTCTAGCATACCACTCCCCTGCTCAGTGATGACAAATACCATTCACTGAGCACTCAGTGCCAGGCCAGACTTTGGGTTCAATTTATACCCATTGCTCTTTTAATCCTCGCAATAATCCTATGAAATAGTTATAGTTCTGGTACTCCCATTCTACATCTAAGGAAATTGAGACTTAGCAATGTTACATGAAGGGGTCCAAAGTCAAATAATAAGTAGAACTGTTCAAGAGCAGGGAAGGATTTGCCATGCTGAGCCAAGGGTCTTAGTAATTTTGTATTTGTAACTTGCATTTTCTTAAAGAGGCCCCCCACAAAGGTCCTCAAACATAGATCTGAGATCAAAAGTAAAATACATTTATTGCTGAAGGACCTCTGCAGGGAAACAGCCAAGCTCCAAGGGCTGTCCGTTTGTGGAGAGGTGTTTGGTATTCCCTTCACCTTTGCTTCACGTGCCCCTGCTTCCCTCATGGTGTCCACCTGGAGATGTTTGCCTGAGGTGGGTAACACCCCGCTGACCCCCCAAGTACACTCAGGTACCCTGGGGCACACCCACGCCCCACACACCAGCAGGGTTTACTCTTCAGTTCTTTCATTTATCTGTAACTTTATTTGGGGGGCTTTTTGATCTTTTAGAACCAGAAAAGTTGTTAGACTGTTCCTTCAATCTATCTCCAGCTTATTTGGAGGATCTGGGCCATTCCATTTTGTCTTAGCACACCTCTTTGGCATGTAGCTGTCCCTTTTCCCCCCTTTCAAAACAGCCCTTTTTGTATTCTGTGTTTTGACTTTCTTGGGGCAGCCCTTTATTTTTGGTACTTTTCTTTTTTTTTTTTTGAGACAGAGTCTCACTTTGTTGCCTGGGCTAGAGTGCCTTGGTGTCAGCCTAGCTCACAGCAACCTCATACTCCTGGGCTCAAGCGATCCTCCTGCCTCAGCCTCCCGAGTAGCTAGGACTACAGGCATGCGCCACCATGCCCGGCTAATTTTTTCTATATATTTTTAGTTGGCCAATTAATTTCTTTCTATTTTTTTTTTAGTAGAGACGGGGTCTTGCTCTTGCTCAGGCTGGTTTTGAACTCCTGGCCTCGAGCAATCCACCCGCCTCGGCCTCCCAGAATACCACTGCGCCCAGCCTTATTTTTGGTAACTTTTTTGTGCCCACACCTCTCGACATTAACTTACATATGAGGGACAGCGTGCTCATTCTTACCTCCGTGACACCACAAGTCTCTCTCTACCCCAGAACCCCTCCCTGACTTCCATTGCCCTGGACCCTGGAGGTTTCCCAAATCACAGCCAATGTTTGCTTCAAGCAGCAAACATTCCCCAGGGCACAGTGGCTCTGGTGAGAGTCTGGGCTCCTTTACCCTATCAGTGCATGATGCTTTTAGGTAAATTTAAAACATATTTATTTTTTAACCCAGAAGTCTTAGTTGTTTTCTGGGGAGAGGATTGGTCAGACTCACCTAGCCCACTACCACCAGAAGCAGAAGTCCTGACATAAGTGGGTTATTAATTTATATTATTACCAGTGCTTCTCCATAATCTACTTAAGTCCTTTCATTTGGTTTTCAAAGGAAGAAGAGCCATTGGATTAATTCCTAGAGAGCAGAAACATGTTTGTTTGCTTGCTTACCTTCATGTTCCCCACAGAGTGAGAAAATAATGTCAGGGCTGAGACTTGGGTGAAGCAACTGAGATACTCACCATGGTGTAAAATTTAAGGGGGGGGGTGCCAAAAAACTCAGTACTCAAGATAATATTTAAATACAATATTTTTTAAAATAAAATAATGCAGAAAGGTTCAGGATGAACAAAATATCAACATTTTAAATAAACACAGGATCTGACCCTGTACTTACATGGTTTACCTCACTCACTTTCTGTGAGGCCGTACGTAGTCTGGTTCTGTCAGATCTTATGTTTTAAAATTTGCACTAAAATAGTATTTAATTTGATTATTGAAATTTTGCCCTCCCCCACTCCACTTTAAACAACTAAGCCTTATATGCCTCACCCTAGTCCTGGCCCTGAGGCTTCGGGAATGTTCATTTCTGTGAATTTCTGGTTATCGGATTGGGCAGGCTCTTGGTGCACAATGAGTTTCTTTGCTCAGCAAAACCCCCGTACAGATTCGGGCTCAGCCACATTACTCATAATCCCCGTGATGTTTGCTTTCCTCACCTCATCCAAAGGCAAGTGCTCTAGTGCTCAATTAAGAGGAGGCAAATCTGTCTTCCACTTCTAGGTTTACTTAACAGATCCCCTGCTCTGGGCTTTTTAAGGTTGCTTTAGGTAAACAATAAGTAGCTTACTAAAAATATTCTTTTTCACGGAAGCCAAGTTCACAATAAAAGAAGATGTGGTGTATGGGCAGGGATAGGCTGGGGCGTGTGAGGGGGTTTCTGAAGTGGCACTTGCTGCAACAAGCGGCCCTCCCTGGCTGAGTTGATTCCACACACCTGCCATCCAGATGAGACCAGCTGCCTGGCAGAGAGGGCTCCTGATCAGACCCTCTCCTTCCCTCGCCCAAAAGGATCTTCCTTAGTAGCCGGGTCTGGGGATGTCAGGAGAATAGGTCAGGAGAAAGGTTTGTGATTGACGGGGCTTCTGTTTTCAAGGCTTCTTCTTGGACTTAGGATAACACTGCTCAGAAGATGGATGTTTGTTTAACCATTTCCCATTTTACTACCTGCAGACAAAGAAAAAAAAAAAGATATAAATAGATGTTTAACCACACAAATAATTTACATTACTGTCTTCTTTATGACTATGAAATAATTAAATTAAATTAAATCAAGAGCAATAACAATTTCGGCACAGTGGTTACTAGGCAAAAACTGATATTTACGCTCTCTGGAAACCAAACTGAAATAAGAAAACTCATAAGCTGGGTGTCGGGAGCACACCATGGAATTTTTCTTGGTTAAAATTTTCACAGAATTTTCAAGTGTAAGGTGTATTATGCTGCTTGTTTCCTTCCGTAATGCCTTTCATTATGAGGACTTGTGGCAGGCGGTCATTCTTTGCTGAGATGCCTCATGGCAGAGCTGTCCTTGTTGAAACCGCAGGCTATGGATCTTAATGCAGAAAGAAGAGGGCTCAAGAAAAGGGAAGAAGGAACACATACCCAGAAGCCTGAGTCCTCTCCAGGTCTTGAGAACCTTATTATCTTTCCAGACACAAGGCACTTTTAATCTGACCCAAAACCTTCGCAGCTGAGAAATGCATGGAAATGAAAACAGAGAGAAATATGAAGCCCTAGGTCTGGAGGGGCTGAGAGGTCACCCTGTTTATTTCTCTGTTTTCTGACAAGCCCTGGCCTAGACTACTCTCAATGGATGCCAGTCTCTTGCACTGAAGGGGGTGCTGTAACTTCCCTAACTGTAGGGGTAACTGTAGGGATGCTGTACTATCCCCACTGTAGGGGCTGGGGAGGAAACTCAGGAAAGCAACTGGGTGTTTTATTCTTGCAGCTTGGCTACAGAAATTGATAATTTTGTGTGTCAGAGCTCAGTTACAGGGGTCCTCAAACTATTTAAAAAGGGGTCCAGTTCACTGTCCCTCAGACCGTTGGAGGGCCGTTGGAGAGTGCTGTGCACATTCCACACATGCGCACTGTGGGCCCCAGATGAGTTGGCTGCTAAGCAGGACAGGCAGCGGCTGCAAAAACACCCGGTGGGCTGGATAAATGTCTTCGGTGGGCCGAATGTGGCCCGAGGGCCGTAGTTTGAAGACGCCTGATGGATATAGCACATTTTTGGGGAATTTCCCCAAAGTAGCTTAGCTTTAGCATTTGGTGTTTGTGGGATCAGAGCTGTCTCTGTCTGCATGGATATTGTTAAGATTTTTAATGTTTCTTGGAATTTCTGTTTTAGTTCATCCTTTGCAGTTTTTTGATGAGCCCACCACAGCTACGACTTTTCAATTATAATTATCCCCACTGGTCTGTCATCCTGGGGTACTGCATAGGAACTTCATCTTTCATCTGTATCCCCACATACATAACTTACCGGCTGATCATCACTCCAGGGACATTCAAGGAGGTATGTGCCAGTTAGTGTGTATGTGTGAGGGGTGTGTGTATGTGGTGTGTTCAGGCTGGTAATTGTTTTGGGAGAAAAGGATTCTTTTGTTATGTTCTATTCAAAAGAGATAAGTCGACCACATGAAATTCGCCAGGAGGCTCCCAACCTTATATATTTATATACCTATACCATGGTGTAGACCTCTAATAGCTGCCACTGTCTCCTTAATGCATCTCCAAAACCCTCACATACAAGGGCGAAAGAATGAGCTGATCATCTGGGTGCCCCACAGCCTTCAGCTTGGGCTATGTATAGCTTTGCAAACTTATCGGACTACTTTGCCTCCTGCTTGGCCACTGGGAAGGAATATCAGATCTGTGCTGTCTGGAGCAATACGTAAATTTTAAGTGGAGATTATGGTAGAAAATGTCCATGGTCATTTTTATAATAGCAATGTGACAAGTACTATTTTGAAAGCCATTTCAAAATAAGGATGTTGCAACAATATAGTTTTAGCTCAAAAATTGCTAACAATATTAAAGTTTTATCTCAATCCAATGGAGTAAAAGTTTTTTGCCATGATAGCAAGATTCATTTCAGAAATGAATGTGTTATAACAATTTTGATAACCGTACCTTATGATTTGTATAAGAGTATATACTTTTCAAAGCACCTACATATAGGTTATCTCATTTTGTTATCAAAATATCCTGGGAGGTGGGTGGGCCAGTATTATTAGCAGATAAGGAACCTGAGGCTGGGAATTATTCTGCTCAAAATTTCCTTATTTCAGTGGCTTGTCTAAGGAAACATAGTACAGAGAGGCTCAGAATCCAGGTCTTCTGACTCCTGGTCCAGTGTTCTTTCCTCTTTTATATTTAGCTTCTCTCATCTTCCCTCTTGGGTTAATAGTTTGCAAAAGTAGAAATTGGTGCTAGAGGTTAGGGAGAGATAAGTAGCCATTTTCTTAGACTCTTTTGAATTAAATTAGACTTTTTTGGAAGATGTATAGAAAAAAAGAGGAAAAAAAGTAGCCATTTTCCATCCTGTGCTCCCAGAGTCAGTGGTTCAGCCACCAGGATTCTCAGCAGTGTAATACTACTTCACGTTACCAGACTTAAAAATGCTTCAGTTGTTACTTGTTTGTTGTGTTTCTTGCCACAGTAAGAAGGGTGCTATGACAGAAAATCTGAAGTGGCCACTCACAAGTTCATAGTTGGTGATTTTGCAGGGGCTGAGCTCAAAGGTGAAGGTGGTATTTGGGGAAAGCTAGAAGGGACTGTAATCTATGATGGCCTGACAACTGAGGTGGGCTAGTCTGTGGGCTCTTACAGTAAAACTCAGACATGAGACCATCACACTAATCTTCCTTAAACATTTTATAAGAAATGAGAAGAGAACATGACACAATTAAACATCAGCTCTTACTCGGGTTCATTTCTTTTTCCAAACATGAAAACTGAATTCTAGGTGAACAGAACTCTGTAGTTGCTAATTTCCTACACCCAAACCAGTCTTATCATGACGTCATTCCTCCCAAAGAGTATTCTACCCTGGTATTATTTGTAATACACTCTCAGACCCAGAGTCATTGAATTCATTCCCTCAGGTTGTCCTTTATGGCAGTTGGGATGACCTACAAGCTCTGTTGCTTCAAACCCAAAGGTCAAGGTCGGGGGTGGGAACTATTTAGGTTAATAAATGTCAGTATTCTTTAGTCACAGACTGCACTTAAAATCCTGGTCATCTTTCTTGCAAATTTCCCCAGTTGGTCAAAAAGGAATGCCACCAAAGGTATGTGAAGTAACACAGCTCAGATCCATTAGCAATAGAGGTAAGACTAAGTGTAGGGCCATCTTCATCATAGGTCATCAGATGGGGAGCTGTGGGTTACCAAGAAGCAGTATGACACAACCTGTCACAGAGGACTGAGAAAAAAAGCCATAGTCAGCTATGGCAAGTCACTCTTCTTCTCCAGGCCTCAGTTTCCTCATCTTTAAAATATACTCATAGGACTATATTAACATTTCCCAAAGTGTGTTTTGAGGAGTAGTTCCATGTGATCTCAATAGGTGTTAATGCTGGAGGAAAGGTTATATAATGAGATAATTTTTGGAGAATGCCAGATTAAGGCAAGTTAAATGGGTTTCTTTACTACAGGATTTCTCAAAAAACTTTCATTCACCCATGTGCATGCTTAGTCATTGAGGGAGATAAAAAGCATGCCATGGTTTTTGCGAAGTACCCTAAAAGGGTCTAGGATTTATTTATAGTTCTTTGTGAATACCAGACTTGATAATGTGTAATATTCCATGAGTGGAGAAGGCCTTATCTAAAATTTTGGTCTGCTTAAAAAAAAAAAAAAAAAAGGCTAATAGAAAGGTGAAGTTCTTAACTCTTTTGGACCCTGGCAACAAGGTTGGAATTTATGGAGTGAGCCACCACTTACTGGTATAATTTGGAAGATATCACACGCCCCCGCAGCCTGGAAGTCTGAAGGTTGGAGTCATCTACTGGCTTAGGTCATTGTCGCAGAAACTACTAAAATCTGCACAAAGATACTGGAAAACAGTCCTGATGAGTACACAGTTATGAAGATGTCAATAGTGATCCATTGCCTAGATTAACTGTTTATCATCTTATAGAAGGCCAGGGCCTGGCAAATTTTGAGAACAACAGTAATCTGGCAACTAGAAAGCTGCCAAAACATGGGAAACCAAAGTGGGCCTGGCACTGTGGGCCATCAGCAGCCAGTGTGGGTAGGTTAGGGCATAAGAGCCAAGTGTTTTACTTTATGATGCTGTTCATTGCTGGTCTAGGCCCCTCGCCCCCTCAGTGATCTCTTCTGTTTCTGGACACCATAGCTACACTGAAGACTAGTTACAGTGATCTCTATCTAGTTCCCAATTAGCAAGACATAATTCTGTTTAATCAGTTAAAACTTGCATATTCTATGGGGATGGATGGTTTCTGAGATTGTGCATTCAGTGACTTGGCATGCCCTGGTAGCTGGTGAGTAGATGGATTTCTAGTGTGAGAGTTCAGTACTCAGATACTGAAGTCACAAGGAACACAAAATGTACAATTTTGTGAGTTTCATTAACTATAGGACTGGAACTTTTTGAATTCCATAGGCTATGCTCCTAAAACAACAGAAAACAAAAGGTTGAAGGGGGTTCTTTACTTTTTTGACCCAAAATAAAAAGGATGGTAGCAAAGCTGCACCTAAAGATCAATAAATCAAAAGCTGCTTTCAGATCTAATTTTGCCTGCTTACCATACATACAGACTTTTGGCCATTAACATTTTTACTAAGCAATTTAATAAAGATTTTTCTAAGCCTCTGCAGTGCTGCTGTTTTTTTCCTTCTCTGCACCCCTGAGCTGCTTCATGTCACACTGATGCTAAGTTTTACAAGGCAGGTTGTATATTTCATACCCAAGTCCAAGCATATTTCAGACCTATCTTAACACTTCTGTGTACCTCGGTTGTTTCTATAGAAATTCTCACTGTCCTCTCTGTGATGAGTGCTACATCAACATGAGATTGTATTGAAAGTGATAATGTAAATGGTTACATCTTTTAAAATCTAATTATGTGATAATTACTCTTGTATGAACTAACCAGTACTGCCTTACATGTGGATTTGTTAAATCAGTAACATCTTGGCTGTTATGGTGGCTGATGGTACAAGGCACCTGGCTGAGGGCAGGGGTGCCCCAAATCCAGCACTCACTTTGCTCCCCAAGCCCTATGTGGCTGCAGAAGCCGCCTCTGTCCAGAGAAGAGGGTATCCTTTCCTGAGTCATTCAAAGGCATGTCATAGCACAGCAGAGGTTCTATTGAAGGCTCATCCTTTTCTTCCATTAGTGTTACAATGATTTTCGTAGCTTACAGGTGCTTATAGTTCCTAAATATATGATTTTTATCTATATTTGAGAATAGAGAATCCCTTTCTTAACCACTTTGGTGCGGCGCCCACCGGCCGGGAAACCTTGCCCACAGCCGGCACTCACAGTCCGCACGATAGTCTGTGCTGTGCATTGACGACGAATCCGTTTTGCTCCTGTGTGATGAGGAAAGCTTTAAAGCACTGAAAGCTTGTTTTACTTCACAGGCAGCTTTACTTGTAATGTAAATCAGAATAGGTAACATATACATATATGTTTTCATCACGTTATTTTTAAATGTTCACAATTTTATTTTGATAAATGAAAAATCAGAAAAGTCGTATCACGGCTGTCGGCTAAAGTCGCTGTGTGGCTAAAGTCGCTGTGTGCGTTCATCTGTGGCTGTCGACTATAGTCGACGCTCTTACCGAAGTGGTTAAGGAAAGTCAATGAGACTGTTTCAACTATTTAATTTATTAAAATGCTATTTCAGCTTTGTTTTAATATTAATGTGGAAATACTTTTGTAAGTTTATGAAATTACAAGAACGTTTCTAACATTGTATTTTCTTCCCAACAGCGCATTATTAAAAGTATCACTCCAGAAACACCAACAGAAATTCCCTGTGGGGACATCCGCTTGAATGTTGTGTAACACACTTCGACGAGAGGCAAAAGGCTTCCCAACAACCTCTTCCTTCAGTTCTGACGAGTCACGCCTCGCCTCTCCCCTCTAAGTGAATGAGTTTCCAGCATAAGCCTGACAATGGAAGGGCCTTCTCCACAGACACACAGTCCCAAGAAACTACGGTGCCCGGACTCAGATGGCCTCCAGCCACTCCTTCCCATGAAATCTCCTGGACATATTCCCACGTTAGACTGTGCCGCAGCTGAACTGGCCTATTTTGGATGTGTGAGGGTGTGTATGGAGGTGATAAAAACCACCCTATCATCAGTTAGGAGTAGGTTTAAAATCAAGTCTGTGAAAAAGTCTCCTATATCATTTCTTGGTATCTGACATCTGTTTGCTTCTAAAGGTTTCACTGTTCATGAATGCATAAACCACGCAGGAGAAAACAGGGATGATGTCTTCTTGCTAGCCATATATTTTCCGAGTAGCATAGAATTCTATAGCTAGACTCTACTAGAACCCTCTAACCTGTGTGTGCTGCTGTGGAGTCAGGAGAGGAAGATGTAAGAAGCTAAAATTGAAAAATAACGTGTACATGTGAGCATGTGTGTCTGTGTATATATTGTTGTTTCAGTGTATTCTTATCTCTACTCCAATACTTTGGGCCCATCACAAACTATGAATTTCCTCTAATTTTTCTTACATTAACAAATTCTCCCTACTCAAATGTGTATGTATGTGATTGTTTGAGGGCTACAATTCCTACAACATGCTCTGCCACCTTTACCTTTTCCAGTGACACTACTTTAGCCCACACGCCTTCCTTTATGGGCCAGCCTTTTGCATTTTCTGTACTTCATTGCGGTCTTCCTGTCTCTCCGTGCTAAACATTAAGGATAATGTTCCACAGGCAAATCTGGCCTATTTCGTTTTAGTCACTGTGGCTTGGCTGTAAACTACTTTGAAGATGGATCTTGACACGTGCACCTTCAGTGTTCAGCTGGCCATCTCGTTTAAGCTCTATCTACTGCAAACGACTGAATTTGTTCTGGTTACTTTGCTTTGCAAAGAGAGGGTAAATCTGATTCTCAGCCTTAGGGTTTATAGCTCTGGCACCCTAACCTAAACCAAAGGCATCTTCAATCCATGAGCAATTGAAGAGTCTGGGTTAGCCTTAAAATGGGCTTTCCCCTCTGCCTTGACCCTTGCCAATGGTCATGATTGTGGGCCCCCCAGATAATTTTCAAGACTGAGTCTAAGTAAAGTTGCTTGCGAAATGGTCATCTAAGTAAATGACCTTTCATTCCACATAAAGCACCTACTACAGATAATTTGGCCTTGGTGGCTTGACTCTCAGATACATAAGTAGAGAAGCAAATATTACCTTGTGGTGTGGGATTTCCTTATCAAAATCTTGAAGGGAATAAAGCCTTATCAGTGACAAAAGGACTTAATCATCTGGCCTCGTGTATCACTTTCAGTTCTCCATGTAAATCGAATCTAATTCCAACAACCTTATAAAAAGAAGGTCCATGTACCAGAGGAATGGTTTTATCCAATTATGGATCCTCCTACCTTGGCTTCCTCGCCCATCTTCCTGATTCACCCTACACCCTGCTATTTCTGATTTCTTGCTTTTCCTAGCAAGATATTTTCCTTATACGTATATATTAGATGCTGAGAAGTCTCCCAAGTTGTTAGAGGGAAACAAGGGAATGAAAAATGTCCTTTGGTGACCTGCCTTCATTATCTTCACTCTTTCATTCCTTCCTGCTGCCTCATTTCCCTGCTCTTTGCTTTCTAGCATGCTGAAAAGAGAGAAGACATGTTAGTGCCAGTGGTCAATAGCTTTGCAAATTTTAAGAACCTGCTTTGTAAAGATATCTAGATAAGGATTCTTCTCCCCACCTCACACATACTTAGACATTGTCCAAAGATACCACTTTTTTAAAAAGCACTTTTTCAAACGGAATTAGAGTTTGCCAGGCCAGTTACTAAGAAAATTATACAGGAGCTTTCAAACTTTTCAAACTTCATTAAGCTGAAACAAAAACAAAAAACAATCCTTGTTTTGCATAGTTTGCATTTATTTGACCCCTCTTTATCAATACTACTACAAATTTGTAAAGGAAAATTTGGATTTTAAAATAGTCTTTTCAAGACCTTTTGCATCTAATGTAGCACTTACATAAAAGTAAAAACTAAAAATGGAATTGAATTGCAAAATTATTTAGGGACTGAAGTTAATTTTTTTCTTGTAATTTTATCAGTAAGAAATACACAAGAAATAGGCAAGACACAAAACAAAGCCACAGAGGCAATTGAATCATTAAAGGTTATTTTCTACACTGATATGCAATGAAGTCCAAAGAATTCATCTCCCAACTGTCATCTTATAAAGTGTTTAAAACTCATTCCACTTGTTGGATGGAATGCATATAACCTGTAACCCAAATTCACTGCCCTGGCTGCCTCATCTGGAAATGGATGCAAAGACTGACAAATCCAGACTCAATATAACAGCTCCAAAATCAAATAACAAAAAGTCAAATAATGAAATCACAAAATATGGCAAAAAGTTATTCTGTGAGACATCATTTCCTTGCCATCCTCTTTTCACTAAGCTTTTTAATTTGGTGCTACCCATCTCAAAATTTAAGTGTAAATATGAATTTCCATTTAACTACCCCCTTCTCTTAAAAGGGAGATTGTTCTCTTGGAATTAGAACATATTCTTGCTGACAAGTAGGAAAGATTGACCCAGTATGTTTTATCTGTTGTATAATTGGAGTTCACTGTCAAAACAAATCTTAACACTCTGGAATACAGTGTATTAACTGTACTGTTCTTACACATGTTGGACAATACTTAGCTACCCAATGGTACAAGCATGTCTAACTTTACTCATAAATCAACACCTGATGCTTAAGATAATAGAATTGTCCAGGATGGTTGTCATCATTAAACACAATAGTAGGGCACTTCTCACCCCACTCCCACTTTTTATGTCTTTTTTGTCAGGCCAAGGTAGTGAAGAGAAGCAATAGATTCCTCAGAGAAACTATGCCACAGCCTGTCATCCCCATAAATAATATAATAAAAGCAAAACAGTCCTGAGCTAAGTGGAAATAAGTATATTTTAAAGTCATCACAGAGTTCACACATTGTCTTTTAAAACACAAGCAAAGTTACGTGAAGGGCTCTCAACTAGGAAGATGAGCTTAGAAAGTGCTTGCTTGAGAACCATGCTAAAGAATAAAATTTATAAATTCAAATATGGAAAAAGGCCAAGACAGGGAATATACCCATACTACAGAAAGTTTTTCTGGTCCACCTGAAATACTCTGGTTTCTGAATTTTTTCAATATGGAGATGAGTCAATGATATTTATAAAATTTGTTGTGTTTAGTTCCATGGAAAGACTATTTCAAAGATTTAAGTCTTTTTTCCCTACTTTATGTAGTATCACTCTTTTTTCTTTCTCATTGCCTGTCTCAAAATTTTAACGATAGAGTATTTTAAAGTTCAGATAATGACATTACAGGCAGAGACAAACCAGGTGACCAACCTAATTTTTGTTCTTCCTGAGATCTTGAAATTTCTAAAGGAAGGAGAACTTAATTTTTATTTCCTCTACTAGGATGAAATAAATTTCTGCTATAAATTACCCAGTCTCAAGTATTTTGTAATAGCAGCACAAAAGGACTAAGACGCCTTCCTAAGACAGTAAGAATCTGGCACAATATCTGGCACGCAGCCATTAGTTTCTTGAATACATGAAAATATAGCAAATCCCACCTCGCTAGCCTGGCCTAGTTTCCATCCATCATAATACAATCAACATCATACATATTGCCCCAAACAAAAAACTTCTCCATACCTGTGGTAAGAGCAACCAAATAGGATTGAGAAGACAAGGGATCAAGTCCTTTCTCAGCCACTTGCAAGCAAAGTAACCTTGGGTAAGTCACTCAACTTTACTGGCCCATTTCCTCATAAGTAATAATAAACAAGATAACCACAATGACTGCATGCTTGCCAATGGCAGGCACAGCATTACATGCACAGTTTTGAGCAGCCCCCATACTATTCTTATGAAAGAAGTACTTTTATTATCTCCATTTTATTTTTTATTTTTTTATTTTGAGACAGAGTCTTGCTTTGTTGCCTAGGCTAGAGTGAGTGCCGTGGCGTCAGCCTAGCTCACAGCAACCTCAAACTCATGGGCTCAAGCAATCCTCCTGCCTCAGCCTCCCAAGTAGCTGGGACTACAGGCATGTGTATATATTAGTTGGCCAATTAGTTTCTTTCTATTTATAGTAGAGACGGGGTCTCGCTCTTGCTCAGGCTGGTTTCGAACTCCTGACCTCGAGCAATACGCCCGCCTCGGCCTCCCAGAGAGCTAGGATTACAGGCGTTAGCCACTGCGCCCGGCCTATTATCTCCATTTTACAGATGAGAAACTAAAGAAGAAACTAAAGCTAAGGGAAGTTAAATAATGTGTCCAAGGTTATGCAGCCAGGAAGTAGTGAACTTTAAGACTTGCCAGTCTCAGCTCTTAAACATAATGTCATAGTACCTCACTTTTTTTTTTTTTTTTTTTGAGACAGAGTCTCGCTTTGTTGCTCAGGCTAGAGTGAGTGCCGTGGGGTCAGCCTAGCTCACAGCAACCTCAAACTCCTGGGCTTAAGCAATCCTGCTGCCTCAGCCTCCCAAGTAGCTGGGACTACAGGCATGTGCCACCATGCCTGGCTAACTTTTTCTATATGTATTAGTTGGCCAATTAATTTCTTTCTATTTATAGTAGAGACAGGGTCTTGCTCTTGCTCAGGCTTGTTTCAAACTCCTGACCTCGAGCAATCCGCCCGCCTCGGCCTCCCAGAGGGCTAGGATTACAGGTGTGAGCCACTGCGCCCAGCCCTCACAAACATTTTAAACTGTAGACATGATGAGTCAATTTCTAAGATCTTTATAGCTTTAAAATTCTGATTTTAAGAAATACTTGAGGGATATTAGTATAAGTGAAGTTAAAACAATAAAGTAAAAACTCTTCTTACCCTTCACTCATGCCAGCACTGTAGTAGGCACTGGGCATACTATAAGATTGGATAGCTCTTTGCCTTTAAATAACTGACATACTATCACCATACTATAATGTATTAAGCACAGAATGCAAAGGAAAGGGAGAGGTTGCTGAAGCAAAAGAGGCATATCAAGAGAGGCTCAGCTTTAAGAATAGTTAGGCAGAAACAAGGCAAAGCATCCCGAAGGTGAGAAGGCATAGTTAGCGTGGCACAGCACTATGTATTTAGCATGACTGGAGTAAGCATGAACAAGGGAGGGGGAGGAAAACCCGAGATTTCTGAGTCATTCGTATCTTACTGAAAACTGAGTCAGAGGAAAAGATGTTTACCAACTCATAAAATGTCTTTAAGTACATTATTTTGGACCTCACATATTTAAAATAACACATAACTAGCAACAAATTTAATGAATCCCTTACTCATACTGGTCTAAATAATACATTATCAAAGAACTACTTCTCCATGCATAAGCCAATTGACTAACCATCAGTCTATATAGAGTCTTCCTATAGAAATGACTAAGATTAACCAGAATGACCCTTAGTTTCTCCAACCCCTATATATTAAAATTTTTAAGATTACAAAAACCTTTGTTAGACATACACACAAAATAATATATAAAACATATTTACAGTTGAAAGAAAAACAAGTCACCACCATCCAGGTCGAGAACAGACTATTGTCAGCATTTAGAAGCCCTGTGTGTACCTCTCCCATAAACTAATGCTATCTTTTCTTTTTGTGTGTGTGAGACAGAGTCTCTTACCTTGTTGCTGGGGCTACAGTGCAGTGGCATTACCATAGCTAACCAGAACCTCAAAACACACATACGCATATGTACTAGAAAACAAGTACAAGATTGTTCCTAGAAACACTATTCATAGTAACCTCAAACAAGAAATAATCGAATGTCCACCAACAAAATAAACAAACACTAAAGAACCTAGCAAACCCTTTTCCTGTTGCGGCCTGCGCCAAGTCAGCTCGTGGATCTCTGAGACGCGGAGATCGAGAGCTTCTTCGTCCTCGAGAAGTCGCGACTTGCGGCTCTGTGGCTGTCACCATGCCACAAAATGAATATATTGAATTACACCGTAAACGCTATGGGTATCGTTTGGATTACCATGAGAAAAAGACAAAAAAAGTCGAGAGGCTCATGAACAGTCGAAGAAGGCAAAGAAGATGATTGGTCTGAAGGCTAAGCTCTACCATAATCAGCGCCATGCTAAGAAAATACAAATGAAAAAGACTATCAAGATGCATGAAAAGAGAAACACCAAACAAAAGAATGATGAAAAGACTCCACAGGGAGCAGTACCTGCCTATCTGCTGGACAGAGAAGGGCAGTCCCAAGCCAAAGTACTTTCCAA